ATTTATAATCTATCTACGGAAGTATTACTTCCTTATATATGCATTCAGTACCCCAGTCCTGATCACGCACTCACCATAGGTGCTTCCTACTTCTGTCACAGTAACCACTTCCATAGCCCCTGCCAATATCTCCTGTCATAACATACTGTTGACACTGGTTGCTAGTGTGGAACTCCCGGGATTGCAAAGCTATACACCGTCGTCACATTATATACTGTTGCCCCTCGGTAGCCATCAGAGTGATGTGCGCCTCAGTCTAAACGCATTGGTCCACCAGGCAACGCTCGGATGTAGGGATGTTGCCAGAGTGATTAGGTACTTAGCTGTGCCATGAGTGCCCTAATCTCATCTAGCTTACTGCGGCCGAGTGTCCGAGTGCCGCGATGGTGGGAGCCCGATGAGGCTCGATCGGAGCTGACCCGAGGTATTCACAACAGTTGGTCCCTCTAGAGTGTAGAGCCTGTCAGATATATTTGGAGCCAGCACCGAGATCCAGTTGGATGCAGCTTCCAGTTTAATTTTCGTGCTCTCCAAGAGCACGGCACCCGAGAGGAGCGCGTTTCTTGCTGCATCTCCTTCAGCTTGTATCGCAAACCCTAAGTTGACGACAGTGACCTGCTTGATTGCAGAGTTAGCCAAGCGAATCTTGCTTGCGAGGCTTATTTTTATGTAATGAGGAGACATACGTCTCCACGGGTGGTCGGGCTTGACCCGCAGGAACACACGTTCGTCTGGGCGGGCCGGCTTGGAAGCGGTGGTACTTGGCTTAGGCGCTTGTGTAGGCCCAGTTGCTTTTGACTGGGACCCATTGACTGTTGTCGATGTTGATGCCACTGGTTGTACAGGCTGTGGCTTTTTCCTGACCACCTGAGTCCAGGATCTCTCAGTGATGTTGGTGTTATTGTGTTCGTTTCCTTCGACTTGACTAGTAGACTTTGCGGAGGCCGACTCTTTGCGTTTCGCATAGCTGCTGCTTTCTCTGGCGAGGATTTGCACTGTTCGTGGAGTGCTCGCGTTATTCTTTCCCCCTGTCTTAGTAGCTGGTGCCGGAAGGGTTGTAGTCTTGCTGCTACTGGCAGCCTCTGATGGCCCACTGAATTGGGGCTGGGGGTTACCGCGCAGGATATCTGTAATTATGGCCTGTAAGGCCTCTCCATTCTTTTCGACAGCTCGTCGGAGCTGTTTATCGTTTGTACCCGCCAGAATGTTAATGTACCCGCTGACGATACGCTCAGCCTCTGCGAAGCGTAAATTAAAAGCCCTCGCTTCATCTGCGAGGAAGTTAGTCATTGTGCCACCTAATGACTCGGTGGGGTTCGGGGGCGAGTATTGGCAGCTCGCCACGCAGATGGGCTCTGCGTTTATTTGTGTAGTATGGGGATGATTGGGTGGCCCTGTGAGGACCATTTCGACGTCAGGACGCATCGAATTTACGGGTGGTAGAGGGGGCCAAGAGCCAGCCTCTGCGGAGGACTGGGGCGGCATGAGTAGGTTAAAATATTTATGTCGGTAACAGGTCGTAGATGGTATATGATTTTGTCACTTGGGGCGTGAAAAAAAAAAGGTGTGTGTGAAAATTCAGAGGCTTTATATTTTACCGAATTTTTCCTACAGAGAATGTGTTACAGTTCTCCGTGTGCCCGTAATTGCTCAGATTTGGCTAGTGGGCTGTCCCCTCCTTTACTTCGCTCCCGTGTTCCATCACGTGATATGTAATAATTGCTCACCACAAAGCCCGCAGATTGAATAGGGTTAGATCACAACAATATTATCTTGTAAACTTGTCCTGATCCCTCCCAAGTTCAGTTGAAAGAACTGCCTCCCAGATTTATGTGATACGCTTTGTTTCCTCCGTCAGGTATCATATCAGCTGGGGCGTGTATTTGGTGACGAGCTGGGGCCAGACAAAATCGACGAGAGGTGTGTTCCTTAGAATGAGGATGTACTAGGTCGTACCTGTAGATTTGCTTAGACTTAGACAGGAGTTGATTTCGTTGGGAGTGAAAAATTGACATGTTGAAGTTTTTTTGAATCATTGCCTCGTGGGCCAACTTCTTTGGTATTGCGAAATTTGACTGAACTTGGCTCTGGGAGGATATTCCACTTCCATGTTCGTAGAGGCCACCGCTTACAGGTGTTCAGTCTTGCCCTCCGAGCTGGAGGTTAGTAGAGGACCGTACTGACAGTTATTGAGATTAGTCCTCCTACACAGAATATCAGTGTTTCGGAAATTAGAAGAACAATTGAAGGTGTACATCAGATCCCTAATTTCATGTCAAATACATATGACTCAACATACACCGATTGATCAATATGCCTTTTCGTGGCACCGTGTAGTTTCAGATTTGCAGAGATCTGAACTACCGTGTACAGTACAGAGTTTTCCCCGTTCGATGCTCTAGGCAGACATAGAAATTGGGTGACATTGTACTCGCAATGAGACTGCGACAGCGTTCGAACGGAAGCTTAATTATATTTGACACGCTTCTGTTAATGTGTGCTTAATGTCCTACTGAGTTTATGACTATACAAGGATAAGTTAGTCCTTTTTGACTATATGCTAGGATCATCCATGCCTCGGCTATGGCACCACTCCTTTGCCTTCTGCACGACTTCTTTTCAGTTGTGTTACTCCCATCAGTCATCATTCGCGTACATAGATATAATTCAGTTTACCCTGCTACTAAAATATCTTTCAACAACTGGCTGCCTTTCTAGGGATAGTGTTGAGGAAGATAGAAATCAACCAACAAATTAATCTATGTTTACTTATCAAGAATTATTTTTCTATTTTAATGTATATAAAATAGTGGTATAAGATGATGATTGGGTTGAAGAAGATATATATTACATAGTGTCATAGCTAGTTAGGCTACATACACTTAATGATTAAAAAAATTAAAATTCAGTTTACCTGATTTGGCGCCTTGAGGCCCATGCAGGTTTTTATCGGAAGATATGTACTTTAAGTAGGATGACTCAGTTTGACGTTTAGGACACTCACCCTCAGGTTTCATTTGCAGATACCACTCGAGGTTAACCCTTACGGCGTATAACCTCTTCCGTGCATACCCACCACAGGGAAAAGCGTGAAAACCCTGTGGCTAACCGAGTGTGCTTTTATCATCCCACAAGTACAATATCACCGCGAGAGAGAGTGGTGTGTGGGTCTGACTGGATTCGAACCAGCTTTCTCCTGTCTCGAATGGGGTAGGTGTTCAGGCTACCCAGTATCTACTTGGGAGAACGGCCCAGATGGTGTACCACTGCACCATCAAACTCTTTTTTTTCGCGTACACACTTAGAAGTACCATTGTCACGTATTTATATCTCCTCTCTAGTCAACAAGACGATTGCCATTATCATTATTTCATTTTATTGTCATTATGTGTCTATGGATATGTAGGACATGCAGTTCCTCCCTGCCTACAGGCTAAGGATACCTATGCCAGTGGTAAATCCCCTCTCATGTCCCCTACACAGCTCCCCTTAAGCAATATCACCCCTCACAAGTCCTCATCCGATCATTAGCTTAGAGTAGCCTTTTGCCCTACGTTATCTAACCTCTCCAGCCAAATAAGCGACGACCATTTGTGAGTCTATGGCAGCCGAGAAGATTCTCTAAACCACTGAGTATGGGGCTTTAACTCTACCAACATAAGGACTAGTTTCTGGGATAAAGCTACCCGTCGGAAGCGTCCAAAAAGGTCGAATAGCCAGGCGCAGTAGACCGATGCATACCCAAGAGCTTCTCTCTACTCTTCTATTCATCCCCTTGACCACCTCGATTGATGTCGCGGGACAAACTAAAAGTCGTCAAGGTTTGACATACAGACTTGCTCACTGGCAATTACCTCAAGTGGCTCAGCCTAGTATCCGAATGTCGTTGCGGAAGCGGAGCTGTTGAGACTCACGTAATTCAGATGCCATCCTAGCTATAAAGGTCGGAATTATAGATGTAGAGAGACGATGTTCTAGAGAAGCCAAATTCCGCCTTTCCACCGAGCGGAAGGGTCCTCCACCAAGCTTTCGTGAGCTTCTTTTGCCAGCCGATTGGTTGCATATGTTTTGATATAACGAGGGCTACCCTACCTACCGCAAACCCTTTCTCTCTGCCAGCGTCATTATCGACGACTTGGTGGCTGTAAATATTTTCGGAGGCGTATCTTTGGGGGAGGGTGAGATAACTCAGCTCAAGTCAAGAAGTTACGAATCCATTCAGCCTATGGAGACTCTGCAGTAATAGCGGGAGGTTAGTAGGGGACACATCTGACATATATCGGGCTTCTGCCCCCCCTGACGTGCCGTTTTGAATGGCTACAAGGTTTGCAGCTTTTACCACCTTTAATTGGCTTGGTGTAGATTGACGCAATGATTTTATGGGGCACCCAAGCACTAAGGCTTCCATAATTCTGGGGCAGCCATGTTCACACCAGCTAGTCAAAGCATATTTCCTGGGCTCCTTGCCCGGGTATCTCAGTAAACCTCTCTTATCTATCTACAGATGACCTGCCTGCCTCTTTAGCGCAAGAAGCCCATTTGGTACATTCCAGGGTCAGCGTCATGTCGATTATGATACTACAATATTCTGTCGTTATGATTGGTCCACCCCTCTTGGTTCGAGATGAAAATCTGCTAGATCGCATACAACTACTCCTGATTCCCTTCCAATTCGGCACCCTACGACAGCTAACGGAAAAAAATCTGTACACGCCTGGGTAGTTCATATAGAGATTCAGAGGTTTCGACTCACCGTCTTGCGCCTAAAATTCTCTAGAAAAATCGACATCAAGAACCTATTCACTATCCACGTGTTGTCTCACACTCTAACCATAGCTTCAATCCCATTTTCAGCACATAGGTGGCTGCTCGCGTTTTAGCGACACTCGGATAGCTCCCGAACTTTATCTTTCTGTTATTAATATCGTACTGACTGGCAAAACTAATGTTTAAACCCACCTCAACCAACACTAAGCCGCATAATCGGAAATTTACTTGACATGGCTGCAAATTTCAAGTATTTATCATCCAGCAAATATTGTCGCATGTTGTAATAACCAAAATAAAATAGTGTGGACTTCGTTCTATCCTTTAATCATGAATGCTTGAGTAGGTAGCTTCCCACTCTTTCATTGGATAATTGCAGCTATTAAATAATTTGTGTAGGCAAAACTCAAGCCGAAGCCACGTTAAGGAAACTTGTTAATGCTCTTGCTGGAGCTGGACTAGCTACGCAGGTTCGAAATGGAGATATACACACCATCTTTTTGCTTGTCAAGGTATCAACCACGCTTCAATTGCATGAGAAAATCTACAGGTCTAGGTTGCGGGACTGGTTATACGGTGTGAGCACCTCACCGCCTCCGAAGGAAATGCAAAAAAATCTAAAAGAGCACCCGATCACAGAAGCTGAACGTCTTCGTCTAGTATACTCCCTTATTATCGGTCCAAAGAAAGAGGGGGGGGCCGCCATCACACCCAGGCGCGGGGAATGGGAAAATATTCACTCTATATTTCGGCTACACGACCAGGCTTACAACAGGTTATGGATCAAGAAACTAAGTTCTAAATACTTTCTGACCTCTGACGATCTATCTGAAATCAAAGGCAGATTTGGTGAGAAGATAGCATTCTATTTTGCTTTTTTGCAGTCCTATTTCCTCTTTCTTATCTTTCCTGCTGCTTTCGGGTTCTTTGCATGGGTATTCATAGGCCCATACTCCCCCATCTACGCTATACTAAATGCCTTTTGGTGTATCTGTTTTGTAGAATACTGGAAGAAGCAGCAGAAGAACCTCGCTATGCAATGGGAAGTCAATGGTATATCAAGAGTTCATCAGCAGCGAACAGAATTCAAGCATGAAAGTGTACTCAACGATCCTATTACCGGTGAAAATATTAATGTTTACTCTCCTATAAAGCGCCTTTTTAGACAGTTATTGCAAATTCCATTTGTAATCGCTGCTACTGTTACCTTGGGAAGCATGATTGCCTTTGGCTTCGCTATCGAAATTTTCCTATCGGAAATTTACAACGGGCCTTTTAAGGGATATTTGGTAAACATCATTATCAAACGATTTGAAATATACTAATTTCTCAGGTCTTGTTACCTACAGTCATACTTGCTGTCGTCATGCCAACCTTATCGGCGTTATTAAAAAGGTTTGCGTCGAAGTTGACAGATCTTGAGAATTACGAAACGCTAGAGAGTCAGCATGAAGTAATCTTGCGTTTATGTCCTGGCTGACACATCGAGCAGCTCACGAATCATCCATGATATACAAGGATTTCATACTAAATTTTATAACATCATACCTCCCGATATTTCTCACGGCTTTTGTTTACGTTCCATTCGCACAAAGCTTGGCTCCTCGCTTGGATGTATTTCGCCCCGCCGTGAGATATTTCATCAGGCAAGATGAAGATATGGTCTCACTAAAAAGTGAATTTAAAATAGATCCAGATCGTCTAAAAAAGCAGATAATCTACTTCACTGTCACTGCTCAGGTTGTTGATTTTGCATTCGAGGTGATTGTTCCTTATCTCAAGCGAAAGATATTTTCCAAAGTCAAAGAAGTGCAAGCAGAAAAGCTTTCGAAATCTTCCTCCAGGCATAGTTTAATACCTGACCAGCCTCATGAATCGGAGTTTTTGGCTCGTGTAAGAAACGAAGCTAATTTAGATCCTTATGATGTGACGACAGACTTTAGAGAGATGATCGTTCAGTTTGGTACGATAATGAGCTTACATCCCCTCTAACTTCTAACATTAACAGGCTACCTATCCCTCTTCTCTGTCATCTGGCCTATTACTGCAATGTCGTTCTTAATCAACAACTGGATCGAAATTCGTGGTGATGCCCTGAAAATGACGCAGGAGACCCAGAGCCCCATGCCCTGGCAAGCAGATTCGATAGGACCATGGCTAGATTCATTAGTGTTTCTAGCTTGGCTTGGTAGTCTAGTTTCTCCGGCTTTAATCTATCTCTTCAGTGGAGAAGGACTAAGTATCGAGGATTCCTCATGGTACAGTAAGGGCTGTATATTTCTACTGACAATATTTGCCTCGGAACACATTTACTTAGCCGTTCAGTTTGGTATCCGGAAGGCCCTTAGGAAAACCGACAATCAAAGACTACAAGAGGAGAAATCCCAAAAATTCATAATGCGCAAGAATTATTTGATCGAGATGCTAGGAGCACAAACAACAGAAAAAGCCTTAGTTTATAAATATAGTCCTCATGAGACTAAAATTCTCAATTTCAAAGAAAGTCATAAAGATATCCCCAAAGAAAAAATGACATCAGAGGAAAAGTTTTGGCAGCTTGATCTCGCAGAAACTATCGAAGTTGTCAAGACATATATTAATAAGGTATTGCTTGTTGAATTATTAGTCTCATGATGCTGACTGACTCACTCAGGAAGATCCAACCCACGTAAGGAAAGAACTCTAGATCTAGTTTATGGAACCGAGTTGAGGCACATCAAAGCCCTGTTATCCAACATCTACTGACAGGCTTGTTCGATGTTTCTCTAGAGAAGGTGATTGATAGACACCTTCATTCCAATTATAAAGATTTAAACGTCATTACCTGCTTTCCACTCGCGGAATTTTACAAGTAAAAGATTATCGCAACAGGAAGTAAGACGTCCGGCTGAGATATGAAACTATCCAACAGTATTATCTATTAGAGCAAAGATTTCGTTTAATACCTTTCTATCGTCAGTAAAATTAGTAATTTGTTCAAGTAATCGGTCTTGATCCCGGCCTGATCCTCTATTCTTGCGAAGAATTCCCCAAGCACGGCGAAACTCATCTCTAATCAATTGAATTCCCTGATGAGTAACTGTTCTGGCAACGTTATGATCCAGCTCAAACGGATCTTCGATGGCGAGTAAATATCTATTTCGGACCTCCCTTGTTCCCTCGAGGGGTTTGGTCGGAATACTATGAGATGATCTAAAGGCGTTATCTTTACTTATGTTCGATTCATCAATCTTAACAGTCATCGCAGCGATATTGCGCGATTCTACGATAGTTGTGGCATTTTTCCAATCTTTTTGTTGTTTTCTTAGTAATCCCCCCATCGTTCGGAGACTAATTACATCTTTCACCCAATCGAACCCGCGGCCTTGCCCACCAGAATTTATCCCACCGTAGGCATAGTACTCGAAAAATCCTCGGACCAAATCTGCTACAGATTGTTTATTATTATTAAGCAGGTTTTGGCAAGCTAATTTCTTGATCTGTGTTTCGTTCCGCCAGAATCGTACATCTCTTCCATCAATAAAATCGGCACTACTTAAATATAATGGTAGAGAATAGTCTGGAAGGTCTGAGTGAATGGCTTGCAAATTGGGACACACAAATGGCAGCGTAACGTTTACGAGGTAGTGGAGCACCATGAGGACATATCCATAGCTGCTGAGGGTCCCCTTGTATGGGATGTTTATACCCCGAATTTTGGCCCAATACTTAACAAACAATACTACTTTTTTCACACGTGGATCACAACTTGAATAGCAGCGTAGTAAATGTGTGTTGTGAATGGCAAGTTCCGCCGAGAAGTTTATATCACATTGAATGCCCACCTTGTTCTTAGGGAATTCGAGGTTGTCGGAAGAGCGTTCACGAGGCTTTTGGATGGATAGTTTGGTCGGATCGGGCAATCTCCGTAGTTTAGAAATAAGGTTATGGATGTTAGAGTCGCAGGATAAGCTTGAATGTCTGAAATTGAGAGACTTTAGTAGAGTCACGAATTGTTGGACGGAATCCTGATCATGGTTGACGTATACACCAAGTGCCAATCCAAGTTCGTAATCAAAGGCAAGCTGTAAAATTCGGTGCTGGCGTCCTACATGTAGCAATGTAGCTCCGTTGAAATCCTGATTCATCATGTGCTCTTGTACTCCATGATTGTTAATTCCGGATATGTAATGAGAAATTACTGTAAGTGTTTCTGTCGCTGTCATATTATTACCTTCAGATTGAAGATCCTTCATGATTGCTGATGCCCTCTCCAAATACGAAGTAGGATCTTCAAGTTTATGCTGCTTCAGGATAACCAGTCTTATTGATGGAACAATTTTCAATTTGCTGCAGATATATCGTAATTGACGATTGTAATATGAGGGGTTAGTGATATGAGCATCCGAATCTTTTAGTAAGCACCATTTCTGTACAAGAGCCTGAGCTTCCAACTCATCTTTTTGTGATGCCTCCTTTAAAGTTCGAGTCTCCCATGCTGCAGCAAAAATTTCGCCCTTAAGTTGAGTATAAATTGTTTGAAGGGATTGTTGTGCAAATGGTAACGATTCATTGTATAGTGGAAGTATAGACTTAAATTTTTGAATCCTAACAGATAAACTGTTTAAATTTACACCAATAATAAACGCCTTGCAGACATCATTAAGGATCTTACTTTGCTCTGGGCTGAGATGAGAATCACGAGCAGTAGAATCATGACCACCCAGATCTTTCAATACCTGCTTTGCGGTGGTATAATATTCATCTAATGTCTGGTCTGGCCTTTGCTTGAGAGACAAAAGTCTGATTCTACAAAAGTTTTTATCAAGGGATTGGGCAAAGTCTGGGCCATCTGACGTAGCTCTACAATCATCCTTGAAGTCTTGACTAGTAGTCGAATTGTGTTTGTTTATTAGCTCGGATTCTTCAACATTTCTCTCCCATTTTGCACGTTCTTCAAGCAAAGCAGCTAACAGCTCTTTGGTTGGATTTTCGCAAAGTTTAATTATAGGTATACGTGTTTTAGACAAAAGTCGGGCTCCATATCCTGATTTCAATAGTGTCTTTTCTAACAGGCGAGGAATTGTAATGCCTGAAGTTTCAAAATTAGATAATGCTGGAGTGATAAGAGCTAGGTCCATATCTGATGTCTCAGTTGCAAATCCAGACATAAGGCTCCCAAAACAGCGGAGTTCTACTTTGGAGGCGTCAAAATTTTCATTACCCAAGTTCTTTTCATGCTGAGCTATTGCATTTTGACAATGATTTTCAATTAGTTGCCTAAAATTTTCTCTTTCCGATATCCCACTAGGCTTTATACATATTTTTGAAACGGTCTCCTCTATCAGTTTGTTAAGGTTAGAAACTTCGTATAAATTTTCATATTTATTTGGCCCATAAATCGTTCTATTGGGTAAAGTTTTGTCTAGTAGCGTCCGACTTATTAGAGAATTCTTTTGGTCAAAATTATTTCCAACTGGGAGGCCTTGAAGAGCCATTCCATTTGGAGAATGATTATAGGGTAGTTGGGGAGAGGATGCCATCAAATGAGTAGATCGTAACGATTCAAAGGGGTGAAGAGGTTGATTAGAATGATATTGATGAGACTGCTGTCTGTAAGAATTTAATACTTGATCCTGACCTGTCTGTAGATGCCCTGATATATTCTGACCATGATCGTCGGGCCTGTCGACTATGTATCCATGCACACGTCTATGGTTTTCTGAGGTGCTAAGCTGTGCATTTGTTCTTCGACGTTGAGCCTGGTTTGGACGTTTCCGGTATCCATTGACAATATTCGATGAATTTCTTTCCAGAGTCTCCTTGCTAGATGACAACGTTGGTTGTAGTACTTTATCTGTGGCTTTCTTACCACTGGATATTTGCTGATTCGTCGCTGTCTGCGGAACATCTTGGTGAGTTGATTCCTTATTACGCAGTATCAAACCACGCACTCGGTCTTCCAGGCCGGGCGCTGGTTCCTGAGGAGTAAATGACATGATTAGAATATTTTATTTCATCCACAACATGTGCTTCAAAAATGAAGTTGGATACGTCGTATTTTAACCGTTAATAATTTCTATTCTGCTCCGCAAACAACAGGGTGCACTAATAATTGATTCCAACTGAACACTAATTTCTCAATGTTTCGGCTGCGAATATTTAAGCGTTCATGATCCTCGGCGGAAGGTGGATGTCTTGCATTTCGAATTGGAGCCTGACAACGTAATAGCTGACATCTTACTAACCAATCATTTTAGTTGAACTCCGTGTACTGTAATGACTTAATCTCATTACTAGAATAACGTCATCTTGCGTAGGATCGCAACAAAAGCTAATTTGATGCTATTGCTCACAATCAGACCTTTCCTTTTCAGTGCTAGCTCTTAATTATTGACATGAACACCACCAACTCAGTCATCGCAGCCTTACGAGGTCCAAGTTCGGGATTTTGAAGTAGAACTATTCGATAACCCCCTATTTCCGAGCTAAGTATAGCCCTGGCGCATGCCTTATCTTGTGGGCCGCAAATGATTGAGACAAAATATTCGTAATCCCACAGTTGCCGGAGGGAAATCTCAGATTTCAAACTTTGACAATGAGCGCTTCACCCTCAGGCCAGCCAAATGGGGCAACTCCTAAGAATGAACAGCCCCAATTTATAAGAAGACACCGAGCAACAGATCCATTGCGCCCACGAAAGAGGCCTCTCAAACGACCATTGCCCTCGCAGATTGGCACTACAACAAAGTTTCCCGTTGCCGAAGCTACGCCTCTCTATCCTGTCAACGGTCTAGCCCCTCCAAGAGAAACAACCTCAATTCAAAATCAGGCGCAGGCACTAGAGGCTAATGGAGGGTGGACAACCATACCTAGGGGTGATTTTACCGACTATCCCTTAGTGACCACCAAAAAAGCACTACGAGAAGGACTACGTTACCATATTGCCAAATTTTCTGGAAAAAAAGAAGTTGACCCTCAGAATCAAAATGAGTTTGTTCGGCCTGTTGTCCTACATCGTCGAGATCCACAGCAACCATCTGGTAAGGAATCGAAAGATATGGAAGCAGGCCTAGACCAACCAATCGATTCAAAAGAGCTAGAAAAGCAAGAAATTGCAAGAGCTCAAAAAGAGAAACAGAGAGCTATCGACATGGCGCAAATCGCACCAGCCGGCAACAACCCATCTGCACTCGCTTCTAAAAAGGTCATGCATGGTAGGAACGAAAAGACGACACAGGTGTATCGTTTAGATAAGACTGAAGAAGAGAAGAAAGCCTCTGACTTGAGATATGAAGAAGCCCTTCCTTGGCATATTGAAGATGCAGAAAACAAAAATACCTGGGTGGGAAATTATGAAGCAGCACTGTCGGATATTAACGTAGCGTTCGTTATAAAAGATGGGGTTTTTAAAATGATTCCATTGGAGAAATGGTATAAATTCACATCTAAGGGACAATTTAAGGCATATACAATCGATGAAGCTGAGGCAAAGATGAGTAAAAAAGTTAAGGAATCCCGATGGGTTATGAAAAGTAATGAGCAAAAAGAAGCCGATCGCGTCAATCAAGAAAGTCGTAAGGCAATGGCCAGACTATATACCGTCAAATCAGAAAGCTCAACATTTAAAAATTCTGGAAAACGGGAAACAGAAGATATGGACGAAATAGACTTTGATGGAGGTGAGCTTTTTCAGGACGATGACGAATTAGCGACAGTTGAGCCAGATAAAGATGAAGAAACCAAGGAAGCTCAAGAGAGGATTAAGAAAGAACAACTAGGCGCAAATGTCTTTGACCAGGCAAATGAAGCCGAAGTAGACAAAGAATTCATCGAAGAGGAAAAGGAAGCTGAGGTTCGGAAAAAATTTGGGAAGGATGTCAAAAAGGCTTTGAAAAAGCGGGAGAGAAATTATATATATGATAGCGACTCAGATCACCCTTATTCAGACGCGGTTAGTAATATTAAATCACTTTATATATGTATATATATATGTATATGCTGATACAATCTAGAGCGAAGACGACACCTCAGACGAGGAGAAAGTGAAAGAGATTGACAGAAGGCTAGAGGAGGAAAACAAGAGCAAGACTAAGACTGAACAAAAAGTCACCAGTGGTGCTCCGAAGGGAACGAACCCGGTTCTTGGTGCTGCAAAAAATTCAGATCCATCTAAAAAACAAAATTCCCGAAAGAGACACGGATCCCCTAATCTCTCCGAATCAAGTGGAAATGAGTCTAGCAGGAAGAAACCAAAGAAAAAGAACCATACGCAGCCTCACGGATCTTCTGTTACAAGTTCTGGATCTCGACAGGTATCTTTCACCCCCAACGTGTTTCAAGTCTACCTGATCAAAATTCTCCACATAAAATTTCTAATAATAGACTGACAAAATGACTGACTTTTAAAATCCACAGCCTAATTCGAATCCTACAAGTGATTGTGAGGTAGCGGGAGAGATGTCCGACGAAGGAAAAAGAAGACAGAAGTTGAAGATATCAATGGCTAGTGGCATGTCATCAGGCTCAAGACAAGCCAGTCCGGGACTACGTAAGTTAGACTTAATCGTGATTTTCTGGCGAGCCCGAATAGACATCTTCTGTATTCACATGCACCTTCAACAGTTCATCATCCAACACAATTGCTTATTCGGAGTTAAACTGACATCCTACAGCAGTCACTCATCCTACAGCAGCAAACTCAGGGCCAATCACTACCGAAGAGGTGATTGCAGCGCTTCCTGTCGCAGGTATCAGTATTGGTAACTTAATGAAGTCATTTGGTGGAAGGGTAGGAGAGGATCCAGTTAATCAGACTAAAAAGGCGGATTTCATCAAGTTAGTGAGGGAGAATGCAAAATTTGGACCCGATAAATTATTAAGACCCAAGTAAGTGGAGACATCATACGAATATGGATAAAGTCTAGAGAGGTGAACTGCCCAAAGTTTTCTGTACAAAGCAGTTATTTTTTGAAGTTATTACGTGTTTGCATGCGAGGAAATTGAGTAGAGTCTTGTGAGATGTAGGGGTGCAGTATGTATTTTACTCGTCCATTTGCCAGGAATAGTCTAGCTCTTTGTTTCTGGCAGACCTGTTTATGGACTTGAATCTCTGAGCTTCCCAGCCGTTGCTTCGGTCAACCCCGTCCCACTTGTGACCTGGTCGTATCCCGTACCTGTTGGGTGCTGCGTGTCCAGCGAATTGTGGTCTTCCTTTTGTATTCCGAGCTTCAACTGGTTGTAGAAATTGTGTAGCTGGATCATTCCAGCGACTCTTCTCCTTAAGCTCTTTATTCATGGATTCATCATCGATATTACGCGCGACTGGCATGAGTCGTGCTTCCTCTAGCTTTTCCTTGTTTTTTAATTTCTCTAGTCGCTGATAGTCGCCTTTCTGCGCCTCGAGTTGTTCCCGTTCTTGGGCGGCCTTCGCATCTGCTTCGCGTAATGCTTCTTGTCTTCTCATGACAAGGTCTATTCTTCGGCCGGTGGCATCTCGAAAGACGGTTTCTCGGGGTTTCGAATTCTGGCGAGACGTTTCTTCCGCCTCCCATGCCGCGAGTTCTTCTTGTGACTTCTGCTCGGATAGCTTCGCGACGGCACTCGCTCGTTGCAAGCCGGCTAGTGACCCATTGCTCATCTTAATAACTTCATTCTCAATCACAACCGGCGATTCATCTTGTCGTTGCGTGGCTGAGTTCTCGGCAGCCGTCTGGGCCACGATTCTATCAACTTCATCGGGCTCGATTGGCTTCGACGGGTCTGACACTGCATCTATTTTTTTCCACGTGCTCGTCTTATTCCTCTTGTACTCGATGGAGCTCGATGCGATGGCGAGCGGCCGTTCAAACTGGTCTGGGTCTGCGTTGGGGGAATCCTTGATGCATCCGACGGCATCATCATCGGTTATGACTAGACCGCTTGTCTTTGCTCTCTTTTGACTTCGTTTCCGCTTCTTCTCACTTCTCGGCGACGCTTCGGCGTTGAGATATTTGGCCGCGAGGTAAGATGTCAGAGACATTGCTGTGAGTTGCCAGCCGTTGACAAGTCGGTACACAATAACATAAGTCACGTGTCATGTGCTCACAACAACTCAAGATCACCGGCTGCAAGGCGTAACGGCAACCGGAGGTCGAGTGCGCAGCTAGCTGAGTCGTCTTACATCAGCCTTTGCTCCGATCACGCAAGAAAAATTGAATCATGGCTCTTGTTCACACCACATCTTGGGATTTTTGGGGACGAAAACTCAACACCTGTCAGCGGTGTAGCCTCCGAACCTCCAGCCCTTACTTTTAGGCCTACAGAGCCGAGATTGAGTTTCACCGTTATCACTTCAGCGAGGATGTACAAACAGTCTCGTGGGCTGTCTCCTTTTCGTCTATCATCACAATGCCCTACAACCATCATCATGAGGCTAGCCACCATCAGATTAGATGGTGGGTCGAAGCCGTACTCATCACCCTCTCTTTATCATGGAGGAGAAGCCATCTGATGAGTTTCCGGAGCGTACCCAGCCCTTGACACGGCGACGGTCGATTGTTTCAAGCTGGCATCTAATGCTGCCTAGAAGAGAGTTATAGATGGATATGCGCACCTCATGTGGCGAGGGCTATGGGCTTTTTGAGAATATTTCCCCCGCACGCAATGTTTTATTGCTACGAAATGATTTTGGGCGGAGGGATCTGTCGGAAAGAGGGCAAATGGCTATCCCTCGCGGATAATCAAACAGAAATGTATATGTTACAAAAGAGGATATGAGCATTGAACAAGGTTTGGCCTAGCACAGAGAGAAGCCCGAAGCGCTAAATATTCATAGTTTCAAGTGGTATAATAATCTTCAATTATACCAACAAACCCAAGAATTTTTAGTTCGCCAACGATTCGTTGCATGGGAATAGTTGGGAGTAAAAATATGTTTGCTTTTGGGCCGTTATTTCGCATCTAACGATGCGATTTGGATGATTCCTATGATACTTGGCACATGAATGATGTCAAGCGTCAGAGTGATACTTTGATGCCGACTCCAATAGATTTCATGCGCAAGTAACGCTTTGTGGAAGGTTTGCATACAAGAAACAATCGAGCCTCTATGAATACCCAACAAAAGGAACCAATAAACCCTTGCTTTTCCGAAAAAGCCACCTCACTATTCATAAGCACCGCGAGAATGAAGGTTCTGTCCCATCGGACTCAAGCCCTTGGTAGGCGGCATTGACGAATTCTTCCCGCTCTAGTATCGCCGGTGTAGACGCTCAGTTTGCTCTTCACATCTGGCCTAGCCAAGAAGAATCCCATTCGGATTGGAGTCAAAAGCAAATATGGGTACATTTCTAATTGATGACTTTATGTGAGCGGATGCATATTTAAGTATAGTCAGCTCTAGTTATGCAGGCATTCATGGTGCTTTGCAAATCTACATGGAGGGGAAAAGGTGGTTAGATTTGGAGCTCGGGTCTTCGTTGATGGGGGCTGTTACTCTAATGGAGCTATACAACTTGAGGGGAGAAAGGCGAATGGGGCATGGAATCATATCGGTAAGAGATCTACAGTGGACATGCTGTGACTCACTGAAATGTATAACCCACTGCTTAGTTCGTGGACTTGTTGGTAGAGGGAAGCTTATGCAATAATGAAGGATAAAGGGATGTCAATTCAACTACCTTTCTTAACCCAGGTACCCGTCTCGTTTTGATCCCAATAGATAGCCCGTGCGGGATCTCGTATTAACAGCAGTAAACAAGGCTAACACAGGAGTGCACGTGGCACTATACACACCGTTAAGGTTGGATGGTGCGGTGGTACATCGTCTTGGCTCGTCTACCAAGTAGAGGCTGGATAGCTTGAACACATATCTATCGTAATAACGAGGTTATGAGAAGTCTAAGAATTGTCGCAATGGATGTAGCAGGCAATTTGGGTGGATATAGGATAGCGCTTTAAGTCTAACGTGACAAAGACGGATATGTATTGTAGATCTGCTATAAAGATGACCATTGAAAAATAAGAGTGGAAAAGGTTGATCATGTACAGAGGTCGAGCAGCGAGTATTTATACACAAAGACGGAACACAAAATATACCATCAATAACAATAACTCCCAACAACTATATCATTAGATACACCTGCGTCACGTTATCGTATTATCATGTATGGCTGAGATACTGCTGTTGTCCTTGCCGTGTGCCGATGACGTATCATTGACACGGGATCGCTTGTCCTGTCGGGTAGACTTGCTTAATGCTGGCCATTTCAAGCTGTGTGATGTGTAAGTGGGCCTAATCACAACAATATCGCACTCGAGACAGTAGATGGCTGCTTCAAATCCGGCAAAACTCGACCTCGTTTCTCGCGGCGCTGGCACGCAGGAATGACGAAGGCATGCTTAGATAATCAAAGGCATTGAATTTCCCCTTGGTGGCCACTTACAGAGGAGGGTCGACTGTATATGTGAGCGAAAACAGCTTGTAGTGGTATTTGCGAATGAAATGCAGGGTATGAGTGTGTCTAATGTCAAAAGATACATCATACATGTATACACAGCACCGGTCACAGCGGCCTTAGCTCACTTGGGAGAGCGCCAGACTGAAGCTAACTTGGAACTTAAACATCTGGAGGCACTGTGTTCGATCCACAGAGGCCGCAGATCATTTCTGAGATCTATTGCACTTTGATTGTGACATTGCCCCACGTTTACAAAGCAGAGAAACAATTGTTTTGAAGGCATAGAGCCAAGGATACTTCCAATTCTGTTCTGCACTAGAAAAGGAAAACAAGCATTACTCAAATACTTGGATACATCCAAGTGCATGGCAGCACATAAAGGAAATTAAACTAGGATATCTAAATGGGAATTTTATGAATTGATTATTGAGTTAGTTGAAATGTAGGAGTTCTGGGAACTAGATTTGTAGAAAAGATGTGTCATAGCTAGATAGCTGAATACACATTGAATGATTCAAAAGAAAACGCCAACACGGGGTATGAGCAATCTTCGTTCGCCAAACACCAGTCGGCCGGGATTACTGGCTATCGAGCCCAGGAGGATCAGCCAAGTCTATCCCAACACAGAAATAATAGATTAGGTTTATATCATAGTCCCAAGTCAATGACTACAGCGGACTCCTAGATTCTATAAGATACTAGCTACATTTTACAAGTTCCAGTTGTTGACCTTTAATATTTGCTCTCACGGACAGCGAGGGACAAGCCCTCTAACCCGGAAATAGTAGAAAACTCAGCAACCGAACCCTTCATCAATACCTGCCATTAACCATGACCTGACTTATCTCTGTACTCCATAATTCCCACGCCTACTCCATCAAATTATTACTGCGGCTCTTCGATGACCTAGAGGACGCGTAGTATGCCATTGGCTCGAGACGAGACTAGCCAAACTTGTAGGTGAGCCCGCGTGCTGAAAAGAGATGACTGTGGCCACGGGGTGTTTTCGCGGGCGCCCCTCTCTTGCCGACCGCTGCCTTCTGGTTGGACGCCGGTGTAAACCCTTGGTTGTCTACCTGTTTTACCGCCATTGTGTTATGCTCAGCTATGTAGTATGGTAGAGCTAGTAGCTAGTAGCTAGTGCATGGGTAGTTATTATGGCGCATGAATGAGATCCAGTCTTACAGGGAAATGGTAAACTGTCCTTTGCAGCTATTGATGGTGACCTGAATTAAGATGATGATTGTGATTGAGATAGATTTCTATCTAGTTTATAATACATGATATGCTCAGCTTCACATACCTCCAGATCTAGATTCATCGGAATAATTACTTATTCAGTGAAATTCTCCTAGTCTCAGTTGTGTGTTTGGGATCTTGACTAGGTTTCTAGTAACTAGTCAATGATGTTCCTTCTATCACTGAGACATAGTCATGGTTGATACAACAGGTACAAACGATGAATCGTGTCTGTACGTGACGTTCTAATATAGTCATAATCGTCTGAACGATATCAACTCATGAATGAATCATGTCTCTACATAACAGCTTTGGAAGTAGTACTGTGTGCAGTATGAGAGATGGGTAATTGATACAGGACAAATGGCATAGTTACTCTGTTGGGAGCACACTTTGGTGAGCTGCATACTGGTAACGTGATCGGTCTACAAACGAACAAGCTAGGGGATAAGGGACGAGCTTCCCCCAATCTGTAAGATAACAATTATCATAGTAACTTCACCTCTGCATACTAATGAAGATATCTCTCCACAAACTATCTTAGTTGTTCCGGCGCAAGTGTACACTCTCAAATCACATACCAATCATAGTAGCTTGCAGAAACGCACAGACTTTCTCAGGCAGTCTATGGTCTGGTGAGTGTCCGCACACTCACCACACCTTTTCGCCCTATCGCATGAGGCTTGAGTATGCCCCCACTGGCTGCAGTTGAAGCACTGCTTGACTTGTGCCCGGGCTGACCAGAGCTGGGTCGTGTGCAGCATTGAGTTGAGCACAAAGCTGTTGCGTACCGCCCCGCGTTGAAGAGCCTCTGTCGGCAGGCTCGCCATCACCGACCCTCGAGTGTGGCCATTCCCGCTCATCCATTGGTGCCCCTTCTCGCCATAGATCCAGCTTAACCTATTAATTTTGACTCCAGGAATCTGAACATTTGTCTCCGTAGTTATTTGGTATATCATTCTGCCGTTGTCGGCATATCTTCCTCCTTGTATCATTGTTCCCAGTGGCGCTCCCAAAATTCCAACAGGACAATCCCATTTCAAGACGCAGAACTCCTTTGGCCGAGCCATATCTAGGGCAGCGTCTCGCTGCGCTAGACTAACTGCACGAACACCTCAGTGTCATTACTCCGCAATTGCCTTGCGCCATATGCTCCCTCAACATGTATTTTTGCTTTGTTAAGCAGCACTGCCGGCTGCATTTTGCCTGCCCCTTGCTCTCTTAATTCCTACTGCCGCTTTAGTTGCGGGAGGTGCAACAACAGAGGCGTAAGCTGCTCGCCCTCCCATTGCCTGAGTCGACTGAGGAGCCATCTTGCGCACTAGCTCCTCTAGGCTCTTTGTTACTGCCGTCTCTGATGCTAGCATCCTTTCTTCCATTGGTGTCGCCTTCATTGTCGATTCTAGTGACAATGCATGCGACTTGAGGGCGTCAATGGCTCCTACCTCCGCCATCAGTGCCGCAGTTGGCCCAAGACCTTCTATAACCAGTCAGTCGCGAACCTTGTACAAGTAAGCCCCTACTAGTTTCAGGTTATCCATGTTAACGGCTGTTCCGCTTTCCGTTGGTGGTTTACGTGGTACCGTGAAAAATTTGAGGAGTCAGGTTATAATGGTCTATCATGATGATGAAATTTTTCAAAACGATGAAATAACGTTCATGGTGCGTGGTGCGGCTTTTCGTGAAACATTCAAGTAAATCCATTCTTAAATGGCGACTAAGCCTACAGAGACGCAGTCGAGAACACTAGGGCGGAGGAGGAGGTCACGCTTATGGATATCATTGCTGCACACACTATGCTACGGCAGATGAGCCGTCGACTACGATTGACCAAGCACTAAATAGCCTCGCGTGCCTGCTCAGCTTCAAGAAGCATGACCCAGATGCCAAATTCATGGGGCTCAGGATACTCATGTGCATGGAAAGAAGCCTCCAGCAGCAGGCAGAGCTAAATAATGGGCAAGGGAGATTAGATAGCTGGGTTAAATAATATATGGCATAGAACGATATCAAGTTTGATGAACGAGGAAGCTTGAAGATCGCAGTAAGATGATGATTATATTTATCGTGCCAGGCTTACACCCTCCATCCAATGGACATGACACGCATGGAGGACATCTAGGATACAAGTTCCTCCATTCTCCAGCAAAGCCCATCCGGTGCCTGGCTTTTCCAAATACGTGCCTCACGCTAGTTACATCGGGTGGAATAGGTAAGAGCGCATTCACCATGATCCTAAGACCATGTATTGTGGGAAAACCTCAATAATTCTTCCTGTACTCTTTCACGACAAGCAGCCGTAGTCCCCCCTTAAACAGGCCGTGTAGGAATCCAACCCACTGTTACGGGCTGTGCCCAGTTCGGTTAGGCTGGGCTATCTTTCAGGCCCAGCCTTGTTCAAGGACACTAACCAAGTGATCTATAAGAGAGTTTCTCGAGACTCGAATCACTCGGTTAATCATGCTGAGGCTGGATAACAGAACACTCAGTATCAAAAGAATACGTGTCGGGATACTGGATCACTGGTGGCTGTAGCTGGCATATTTAGTTCAAAGGATTTCCCGTAGTAAATATCTATAGAAAAATATGAACTCTTTGTGGTACTGTTTACGTGCGGTGTCCGTAATTCTCCTCGCCCATAACACCCGGCGCCCAGTGATTTTGGCGATTTCTCCCAGCGGCCAGAGACTCGCAAGTGTCCATCGTTTCGTTGGCTGGAGGCGGAGGTCATGAGGGGAGAACGGCACCTCTTAGAGCGTGTACGCGAATGAAGACTTGTGAGGGGTACAACTGCTGGACAGAAGTCGTGACGGAGGCATGAGTTCTCCCGACCTGTAGGCAGATAGGAGCTGCGTGTCCTACATAGTCATAGACTCAGAACGGACAATAAACACACTCTCACCCACCTCTCCTGTTCCTGCCAAGGGCCCATGCGTGTTGAGACGAATCCGCTAGTCCCGTCTTGTCTCTAGCCTCAGCCATGCAGCCAGACTCCCGATTAGTCAGGCCAGACATCCGTGCGTGACCATCTCGTACTGGCCACCACTCGCACCGTAAAGGGTAGATCTTGCATTCCCGCGGCCGAGGCAGTGACTCGTAGAATGCTCAATACGGGCCAGCTCCGATTGGCCACGGCGAGATGGCCGAGTAGCTGAAGAATTTTCTCCAGCAGCCCCGCGAGACTGAGGCAAGCTAAGCGACTATGCTCATAATGGAGAGACGTGTTGCTGGCGCTGCCACTGCTGAATAGAGCTACAAAGGAGGCTGCGGAGGAGTATTAGTAGTCGATGTACAGCCTATACAGGCTTCGCATAGCCACAGATGGAGAATCAGCAATAACGATGATTTGAAAGCCGGTACTATGGGCTCTAGTGCTTAGGCTTTCACTATCTGCAATTGGTATCCCAGCAAGCCGTGGTGGCCATCACATTTTTTATTATTTTCTTAATTCAAAGTTTGTTCAGCTATCTAGCCATGAGACAAATTTACATAATTCTAGTCCCACATACTCCAAACTTTTATCCAATTCATCAATCAACTTTCGAAAATTCCCGCTTGGCCATCACGTTTGCGGCTTACATGCGTTTGCTATATTGTCTGTCAGCCTTAACTGCTCCGACGACAGTCAAGCCGCCCAGATTTGACTAAATGCTCATCTCATAGACTAGCTGACAAAATAGTATATCCCCAATTTCCAAGTTTGCTACCCGCACGAGCAGCTAGCTAGAAAAGGCACAGATGCTTTCGACATTTTAGCTCTTCTTCACTGCAATCCTCGTAATACATACTGGCACAGTCGGTAAAACTTTTGAATATGCTAGATTAGAATTCCGTTAAGTAGATAGATTGTACACTGAATATCTCTTCCTCCACTAAATCTCTGGGATTCATGTGGTAGCTGCACTGCCGCTCCTTGCATCGTGATTAAGCGCTGCTGCATCAGTTTAATAGTAGTCCTATTCCAGCCTAAAGTGCTACTGCTTGTACACACCAACTTCGTGCGGACCAGCGTTGTGGCTCAAGTGCTTGAGATTTGTGAGCATTTCTAGTGGTATTCTTTCCACATTAGTTGGAACCTTTTGCATGAGGACTCGGGGAGTGAAGGGGTAGAAATATCCCTATTCCTACATGTCCTCGGCCAACTTTTGGCATTAGAAACATCAAAATCTTATACTAAGCCCTTGAAGTTTGAAAACCTACAAGAGTAACTTTATCTCAAGTACAAACGACAACTTCTCGAAGCTCAGTATTCCACACAAGTCTTCTAATTGGATACATCTTGTATCCAATGAGCACATCATGGAAGCTCAGGCGTCAGCTAAGACATTCGCATGAGATGTTTTAGTTGGCAACTTGAACTCGGAAAATCCTATACTTTGAGGTTATATCCCTCAAAGTGCTTTGAAATGCCTATTCGGCCTCTAGGCTTTCATTAGATTCGATGAATATGATTGGTCCTGCCAGAAATACTACTAGGAAATAGTGAAGATTTCGTGTCGAGGGAGAGCCATGGGGTGTGATGTTCCCGTCGTGGTAACTTCAGACGAAGATGTCGTCGTAGTCGGTGGCCTCTCCTCATCTGGCTTGGGGGTTGTCGTTGTTGGTGGCGCAGTTTTTGGAGCATCTCTGATGCAACTATCGCTAATTGTGTGCTGATAGACCGTTATGGTGGAGGTAGGTGAGAATCCTATGGCTTTGTAGTCGAACTTTGCCAGTGCATGCGCATATGCTCCAATATTGACATCAAACACCTGTTCGGCGAGCATATCACAATCGCTGGTAGTCTGATTTTCTGCACCGCCCACTGTCCCATTAGTCTCCAGACGGTTTTGAGTAATGTCGCTACCATTCATAGGTTTGTCATTATTTTCAGCTTTTTCTTGATTTTCACCATCGGCTTCATCCCCGTCACCGACAACGTCGTTAGTCGCAGGACTTTTTTGAGCAGTGTCGCTTCCATTCAAAGGCTTATCATTATTTTCAGCTTGTCCTTGACTTCCATCCACTTTATCCACGTAGTCACCGTTATTCTCATCGCCAGCGTCGGCGTCGCTTGCTTCGACTGATTTTTCTTTGGGACCTTCAAATCCAATGGTGTTGCGCTCGATTCTACTCTGGTATTCGAGTATGTTGGCAAAGACCGAGAGTCCTACATCGTACCCATTCCCAGCGATAATGCCGGAAACGCCGCACTGAACATGGACCCTCAAGGCAGCCGTAAAATTGGCCGTGCCTGACCTGACAAGGATTGGGAGACTTTTCATCGGACCCTCATTGCTAAAGTAAATTGGTATCAACACTAACCAAGCCAAACTGTTGACTTACAATTTATGATGGAGAACATCTCCGTTCAGAGAGTCCACAGAAATATTAGCTCCTAGAGGAAAGGAAAACTCGAATCCCGTGTTCATATCGAGCTCATCCTTTGCGGCGGAGGAGAAGACCAGATCAATGAATAGTACGACTCCGACTGAGAGCTCATCACTCAAGGCCATGCCTATCGGAGTTTCCGTCATGTACAGCGGAAACTTGAATTCCCCGTCGCCTTCGCCCTGGATTTCAAATTCAAAGTAGCCTCGGACATCTCCAAAGTGCAGGTTGAGATTCAGACCAAACTTATTTAACGTCACTTGAACGGGATCGTCGAAGAAACCTTTAATCTTCTTGACCATCCCTTGATGTTTCTTGACCTTGATTGTGCTCAGGGTCAGATTACCAGAGGTCTCGCAAGTAATACAGAAAATCGACAAAGGCTTGCTAGTACAAGTTAGATTTATCATCAATGCGTGTATCTTGCTTACGAGTCAATTATGGTCAAGTTACTGTGAGATATGTTAAAACTCTCCATAGCCAATTCGGAAATTTTTATCTCTGTTTTTCTCTTCATCAACCATGGTGGCTGAAAGACATTGGCAGGTACAGCTGCATTTCCAGTTGCCAAAGCCGTCGCAACTGTGATGAGGACTAAAATAAATAGCATTCGTGTGGTAAATAGTGTGATCCAGTCACCAACGTATCTCGCCGACGCGAGAACTTACAGAAAAGAAGATGACTCTACAAAAGAATGAAAAATATCACACAGAGAAGGTATGGAGGGGTGGAAACAGCATAAACAGAGCAAGTACTATATCTAGACATAACTCTTGAGTAGATTTCCGTGTCAGCCAGCTTGAATCCTTACCCAGCCCATGGCGACAAGCAACGCCAGACAAAGCACGGTCGAGTAATATTGTTTATTTCTAGCATCTATTCGTGTTGTTCTAAACTAGTCAACTGTATGTACTCAATTAAAAGTGCTTGATACGCTGGACAGGCCCCCCTTGGTAATAGACAGGTATGAAACCAGCTCTCCAAAATGCTTTTGCACCCTTGGCATCTCTGAAATAGCGATAAGAGAATTTACCTCGTAGTCTGTAGAGGGGTAAAGTTTCAGACGCCATACTAGCTATACCGCATTCAAAAATACCGTCAGTTGGGATAGTTGAAATGAGCAGTAAGCTGTCTCGATTGTGACAATGGTCGATCGTGTAGACATCCTCCAAGTTTCCATAAATTACTATACTCCACACCTCTGTTGTATGTAGTCCTTGAGAACAGTTTCCATCACTTGAAGGCGCCCCTCGCGGACAAGATGATCAGGGTGCCGTGTAATTTGGTGTGAATTCTGCTGCATAGAAGAATTAGTTTCACAAACCCTTTGGAACCCCATGAGGGATGGGTGGATTGGTCGCTGGTGCTTTCTATTAGAGAAGAAGCGGTAATGTAGCAGTGGCAGCTCAGCCACTATAAAACCACGCGACTCAGGTGTAGAGAGTGAAGGTAAGTTCCGTCTTGCCTTGCATCTATTTGCGCATGATATGCGGCAGCCCCGATCTTCCATGTGCATTTCAGTTCCCTCGGCGCAGTTTACAAGTTTAGCTTTGTCGGTTGTGTCGGATTGGAAAAGGTCCCTCGTGTAGAGTAGCCCCCGTCCAGTCTGGATGATGGAGCCGCCATAGTTGAAGCATTTCAAGTCGGAAACTCCATACAATCCTACCCTTGCCGCTGTTGGGCTGTTTTATCCTCGGGCCGAGCCACTAGGCGCTCGTAGGCCGATAATGGCCCACTGTGTCCTCGTAAAACCCTTCAAAACTTACACCAGCTCTGTCTCTTGGGATCATGCTAGTTGCAAGATGAGGAATGGCAATAGCCAGAGCATACCCCATTAACCTGTGTAATGCTCACATCCTTTGTTTCATCGTGCTACATGTGACCTAAGCCTCTCTACAGACGAATTAGCACGGCTAGTCAGACTAATATGGAGTTGAGTCGCGACTCTGGAAAACGTCTACCGCACCTTTTCACAAGTCGTCTAATGTGTATTCAGCTGCACAGCTATGACACTTGATGAGCGTCTCATCTAAATATTGGATGAGTTTTTTTACGATAGAGGCCCTCATACCCTGGATTTCATTTGCAAATACCACTCTGATGAATGTTTGCTTACACAGACAGCCGGCCCTCCTCTGTGGTTACCCACCAGAGAAAATTCAGAACCCTTCGCCATAAATGCACACCAGCGCCGTGAAAAATATGGCCATGTTTTGCCAGATTCGAGCCAGCGCTCTCCTATCTCAAGGATAATATGTATCCTAGCTATCCAGACTCTGCTTGGAAGACCAACCAAGACGACCTACCATTGCACCATCCAACCATAGCCGCTTTTAGAGTGTCACCTGCACTCGCCAAAACAACCCAATAGACCGCATATAACGTGAGACGTTTCTCTGATCCTCCCATTGTAAACTTGATTGTTCTCGCGAGTTGGCGTAGTGGTGCATCTCAGCGGCTGCTGCTGCTGCTGATGATGAATTGATTGATCTGCATTTTTCGTCTACCGGCCATCAGATGCGCCCCTAGACGTGGATATGCATGGCAGCATCACAACATATCGTAAAAAAGGCTCTTATTGGAAGCCTAAATTTTGTCAAGTCACGCTGCTCAATAATAAGTTGACTTGTGAAAAATAAGGGCTGGCGCTTTTGAGTGCTAGGAGAAATGATTGTCTGTGTCATTTCTCAGTCCGAGACTCGATTGACCCTGCCTACCACTCTTGTTTTGCACAAGACGAGGGAGAGAGGCTTTACTCAGTCATTTGAGTATGTCCAAGGGCATGGCAGCACGCTAAGAAAATCCAACTAAGAAATCAAGGTGGGAATTTAAACAATTGATTGATGAATTAGATGCCAGTTTGGAGTTTGTTGTTTGATTTGGATTGTTCATTAATGTGCCAGGTTAAGTGACTACCCTTGCACTCCTACTGGAGCTTGAGCACGAGTGGGGCCGGGCTGGATCAGGTTAACTACCAGTAAGTACATCTACCTCGTCCCACCCCAGACTTCATGGGTTGAATCATGTCAAACCCAACCGTCCAGAGAAGCCTCTTATGACGCGCCGAAGCGCAAATTCCTCCTCCGTGTGGATCCCGGATAGACCTACAGGGCACGAATTAGCTAGATGTAGGAAACACGGCACACACGTAATCGTAATTATCCCATGACCTCACCCACAGCAAATCGCACTGTCAGAGCCCGCCATCACAGTCCGCGACCACAGCAGTAGATCTACCAGCGTTGAGGAGTATGGAGTGATCAATGTACATAGACACATAGACATCCGACACTTGAAGGATATAGAATTCACGTATTAGTCTCAAGCTCTACACAACATCCGTTGTAGTTAGGAGCCACGAGACACCACGTGATACCCCTAACCGTGGAGGTCGAAAACGCAACTGAGAACTTAAGACCGAGACACCGGTGCCCCAGCCTTTGTCGGACACTATAGTTGGAGTGCTGGCGAAATGTTGTACATATTTCGTCGGTGGCGACTCGTCGCAGGTCGAGTCGTTGGTGCCCTTGGCCGAGGTGAGGACACTTTGGAGTTTGTGGGACTGGAATCATGTAAATTTGTGTCACAGCTAGATAGCTGAATACGCTTTGAATAAAACAATAAAGATTAACCCTTCAGCTTCTCTCTATCAATCAACCATGAAACACCAACTACGCCTCCCTCAGAGCCTCTACCTCAAGAATGCCACCCCGTTCAAGTCTTCACCGTCTACGCCCTATCACAAATGATAGTGCAGCTGAAAGGGCATGTATATCATGATGGAGAGTGAGTGCTACAAGGCAGCTTAACCCGACGTCTCTGTGCCGCCTCGCATGCTAGGAAAATCCAGGAGCTCATCGATAATAGAAGCTATCCGGCCAAGTATGGCAGTCAATCTCGACTCTACCGATTCTCAGGAGACAAAATTCATGATTTATATTCAGTGAATGCAACAATTTAGCTGAAATCTCACTTATCTCTTGCGCTGCCGTTACATGTATAGTTGACGTCGCATGCACCACTGTGAGGCGCATTTGTTTACACTGGACAGCCTACTCTCGTTCGCCGCTACGGATAAAATGAGGAATTCGAACCATCTTTTCGTGAAAGTGTGTATTCTCCTCTGTCCGCATGAATACAACAAGAAACGCTATTAAACCTTGTTGCTTTCGAATTAAAGTCTCTGTATGGCAAGGGGGGTATCCTTTGATACGTGAGCTACACCTGAGAGACATGACCGCACTACATAGCATTGAAATATTCGAATGATGCGATAGAACCATATGCGTACCGTAATTTCTCACGCAGTTGGCAGCCCATGCACTATTATAGAAGCTTGAGCACACGGATGGCTGGCTCAAATCGGACGAAGCAAAACCAAATTCCTTGCAATGCTAGTATACATGAATGAATGACGAGAGGTTCTGACTTTGGCTGGTACGCACCGGGTAGAGTCGACTGTTTGGCGTAAGCAAACTTACCTTTGGGTGGTACTTGCAAATGAAACCCAGAGAAGGAGTGTATTACACTTCAACACCCTCCAAAATTTAAATCAGACCCAGATTTAGTTTCATAGCTGTACAGCTGAATATACATCAAGTGACTAAAAAATTGCCTAAAAGTCAGCGTCATATATTGGGAATCAAATCTTGCCGTAAATGACCGAGCGAATGAACATCCCCGTCTTGCAAGCCAATATCTTTGCTTATTTTTTATGAAAATAAATGAGACAAGATTCTACAGAGTGTCAATCTAAGAGTGACCCTCACTGTCTATGAGAACAAAATTTGAATTGACTATCAAAAAAACTCCAATGTAGCTAGACTCTATCACATAGATTCTAGAAGTCCTCTGTAGTCTTAGACTCGGATGGTACAATAAAATAAATCTAATCGATTGAGTGTCAACTGAAGATTGAGGAAGACCCTGAAGAAACAGAACGTGCCCTCTCAAGTGCGTGTGGAATTTCGAGCAATGGATCATTGGGCCAACTTACGAAGCTTGCTTTGTCAGGATGGTACACGCGTCGGTCAGTATTCACAAAGTCATATGAGGGGTGAGTCATAGAGGCGGTCGATCAAGTGAAGGAGCAGTCACACTTCTATTACTCAAGTCAGAGACAAAGTACCACTGCGTTATACGAGAGTGTGAAACACGTAAAGGATAAAGGGCATGAGTGGGCCACAGTCTTGTGGATTGAGACACATTTAAGGCCCAACTTGAACCACCACTATAGGGCATAAATAATCATTTATCTGTCTCCTCCACTTGTATCGCAGGATCTCTATTCAAGTCACACAGACGATCTGAGTCTATTCTTTTCTCAAGAGGACATGAATTAAAAGCCAGATACACATTGACAAGAAAAGTTCTCATTGAGCCTTGTGGCTTAGTCTTTTTTGCATACCGTTTAATGTATATTCTGTTGAAATAAACAAGTACAGCTCGAGTCTGCGTTGTCGCGTGAAGTAAGGGTCGATTCTTTGAGCGAGGATGGCACTATCAAGATATGTAATTGTAATGTTTAATGTGATATAGCTTAGGAGATATCAATCGATCCACTGCGTATAAATTTTATCTATTCAGCTGTACAGCTATGAAACTAAATCTGCGTCTGATTTAAATTTTGGAGGGTGTTGACGTGTAATACACTCCTTCTCTGGGTTTCATTTGCAAGTACCACTCAAAGGTAAGTTTGCTTACGCCAAACAGTCGACTCTACCCGGTGCGTACCAGCCAAAGAAAAGTCAGAACCTCTCGTCATTCATTCATGCATACTAGCATTGCAAGGAATTTGGTTTTGCTTCGTCCGATTTGAGCCAGCCATCTCCTGTCTCAAGTGAGATGGAAGTCCAAGCTATCCAGAATCTACCTGAGACACCGGCCCAGATGATGTACCACGGCGACATGCATCCATAGCCGTATTTATATATTTGCATGCATTCTCGTAATCGAGGTCTCGGCGTGCGCATAGCTTGATTTGTAAAACTCCCCATCATTCGGAACCTCTTGTGATACTACATCCATCACTGGTGTAATCTCCTCCACCTTCAATATCTGCATTTTGGATTCCGATTTGTGCATCGAGATCTTTGCCCTTCTGCGGGTATTCGTATTATCGTGGGCCTGCATGCAGAGGCCAAGTGAACAAGAGATATGGTAATTGAAACGAGGATAAACTAGGCTGTAATTATAGTCTCGATGGGGCTCTGGCGGTAATCGAACTCGTCGGGCTGTAAATTTGATAGGGCAAAGTGTCTGGAACCACTGTATAGCGGGTCAATTTCTTCGGTTTTGCGAAATATGAATATTTCTGACTCTGGGGGGATATTTCACGTCGATATTGGTAAAAGATGCCGCGGATAGATGTAAGTATTTGCCCCACCAAATTGAGTCTATGCCCATACCAATGTGACGGCTAGTAAGCCGGTAGATTGCCTGTGTTATTCAGCGCAGACATATTGATGGTGTCGGCGCTAAGTTTCGCTCGTATTGAAAGTCTGCAACTGCCCGTGGTATAAACAGTATTGGTAACTAGCCCACACCTGAACAATGGGAGCACGACTGGAGGACAGCTACTAGTGTTTGGAATATTGGAATCATGTATATGTAAAGGGCGTTAGATAAAGCATGAGTTTTGTTCTTTGGTTAATAAAAAAACTTGCATTTCGATACACCAGCGCCCAAGCTTTATTTACCAGAACCCTTACAACAAAGGCAGGTTGGCCCTCTTTACCTAAAAGCCGGAATCTTCCATGACTCGGCCACTACATTCCCTCTTTGATGTGACAGGAATTGAGTTGGTGGCGAAAAAGTCAAATTTTAAGCCATATGAAATAGAACAGTCATCTCTTACTACTACTAGCAAGTACTTGAAACTATTGATCTACTCGGTAAATCTTCTGACTTTCCAGTTGCCATGATACTTGCTAATAAGCCATGAGTTGTCAAAAGTCACCACACAATGAGGATGATTCGACCTCCTGACTAGTATTGCTGTTCCGTTCAATAGTCTATCCCTTCACATTTACTCTAACCGTGATCAGTCCCAAAAAAATACTTGAATTCCCACCTGTGCACAATCAATGGTTGAAATTTATCACTTGACGACTTCTTTCCAGCAGTCATTCCCTCATCAGTTGTCATTCGAGTACATACTTAGAAGTACCGTAATCGCGTAATCATATCCCCCTTCTATTCAATGAAACGACTGCCATCTACGGGTATATGGCAGCCGGGAAGATCTTCAAAACCACTGGGTATGGGGCTTTAACTCTACCAACATAAGGACTAGTTTCTGGGATAAAGCTACCCGTCGGAAGCGTCCAAAAAGGTCGAATAGCCAGGCGCAGTAGACCGATGCATACCCAAGAGCTTCTCTCTACTCTTCTATTCATCCCCTTGACCACCTCGATTGATGTCGCGGGACAAACTAAAAGTCGTCAAGGTTTGACATACAGACTTGCTCACTGGCAATTACCTCAAGTGGCTCAGCCTAGTATCCGAATGTCGTTGCGGAAGCGGAGCTGTTGAGACTCACGTAATTCAGATGCCATCCTAGCTATAAAGGTCGGAATTATAGATGTAGAGAGACGATGTTCTAGAGAAGCCAAATTCCGCCTTTCCACCGAGCGGAAGGGTCCTCCACTAAGCTTTCGTGAGCTTCTTTTGCCAGCCGATTGGTTGCATATGTTTTGATATAACGAGGGCTACCCTACCTACCGCAAACCCTTTCTCTCTGCCAGCGTCATTATCGACGACTTGGTGGTTGTAAATATTTTCGGAGGCGTATCTTTGGGGGAGGGTGAGATAACTCAGCTCAAGTCAAGAAGTTACGAATCAATTCGGCCTATGGAGACTCTGCAGTGATAGCAGGAGGTTTGTAGAGGACGCATCTGACAACTGTAGGGTTTTCTGGCCCCTCCCACATCTGGTCGATTGTCAAGGCACTTGTGCTCTACATTTAGCTACCATGAGTGAAGGAAGCTAGTCTGAAGAAGGTCTGGCCTTGGGTACTGCCAACAAGCCGCGAGTGCAGGCCAAGAAAAGTCTGTGCAATTACCTGCGAATACAACTGTTGGAAAAGATTCACGTTGTAACTAGTCGATAATAAAATGGTTCTATCTCTCTCTCCTTCTTCTAGTAGGAAATCTACAATATACTGCTACTACAAGAGCGCACAGACTCACATGTTACATAAACATCACACAAATAAAGCATGTTCATCGACAACAACAAATTCCACATTCACCTTCCAGTGGTGCCGGTGTAATGGCTCAGTTTGCTCTGCATATCTGGGATAGTCAAGAAGAATCGCATCCGAATGGACGTTAAAGCAACTTCAATCATGTCTAAAATTGACGACTTCTCGACGAATGTTTGACCTTTCATTCTCACGCGAGTCCTCTACCTCAATCTTACTACCCCCCCTCGTCTCAAGTAACGATAATGGCCTTACTCCAATTGCAATCGGGAATTTGCCTCATTAAAACCCGGCCATCTCCCACTACAAAATAACTATGCTATGTATGCGAGCGATGAGGAAATTAAGCCATAATCTACAAAGCTCGGCTCTTGGTCTATGGGGGACCGTTGCTATAATGAGGCTTCACATCTTGATGGAGGACAGCCAGCTGGGTGCTACAGGCTGCGCCTTACACCCACGTACTTGTGCCTATCTATGTACTAATCGTCGATGTTCTTTTATGTGATTATAAGCGATCGCCGATCCGACAAATACGAATCGTCGATAGATCACCTCAAGAATGCGGATGATCACCGATCCGATGGATATTAACCTCCCTGGGGTCAGAGCTACATGTATATATGTCCTACAGCCTAGATAGGTACCATTTCCTAGATAATTAGAAAATAGACTGTATTACGGCCAGCTTACTTTGTTCTTATTGTTTTGGTGATAGCCCATCACACTGGGACGTGGGACGGTCGAGCGAAGAGGTGACAAATGTTCATGCTGGGACGCACATTATTCGAGTTTTTTTGATTCAAGGGTATCTGTGGGCGCTGTGAAAGGACGGAAAATAAGCTTCTAGCTAACGTGTGCCCAAAATAGAATTTATATTCTATCTAGAGAGATGGATACCCCGTACGGATGTTCATAAATATAAAATTGCGCGTCGCGTAAGGCGTCCCTGTACATAAGCAATAACAACGCTTGACCACAAATGTGTTAGAGCTTGGCAAGGGTCCGGATAATTTCGGGTTCCAGACTACATGGCTACAGTCTGTAACAGGCGCAGAGGTAACGATTTCGGATAGTGCAACCGACACTTTAAAAACAGGCAACGATGGAAGGTGTTTTGGTCAGCCTCCTGGTCGTCATCTCCTTGAATTAAAGCCTGGGTAGCCTGGACAACTACCTCACTCGAGAAAGGGAGGACTGTGAGGCCATATCTCGCGCGGCGGCTATATACAAGATGGCAAAGGCATGTTAGGGTAACCAAAGCTTTTTCCTGTTTTCCCTTTGGTGGATCTTAACGGTTGAGGAAAGGGTGAAAGTCCCTAGCACCAAGGTCTCGAGTGGTATCAGCGAATGCACCCACTACATGGGTAGTCCAGATGTCAAAGTGAGTTGTCGTCGTATATAGTCGTCGGGGAAGCTAGTCTTCTCCGTGTAATGCTCTTTGAGTGCAGGGCTTGTGCCCGTCACAAGTAGACTTTTATTCATTCACAACACAATCCATACGTCAGCCACACGATAATTGGAGCTTCGGCATGTCCTTACTTTAAAATCTTAAACGTTACTGGCTCAATCTTGTATTGCTACTAAATCACTAAGGTCATCTACCTAGGTTCAACCAGAAAGACCGCCCTTCTTATGTGTATGTACGCACGGATCACCTTGGATGCCTGCATAACTCCCAGTCCTTATATATTACATGACTGCATAACTAGAGCTGACTATACATAAATATGCATCCGCTCACAAAAATAAATTAAAAGTATGTTACACTAGTCTAAGGCTGTCAACAAGTGTGTGACTTATGACTTAATCGTCAATCTACAATTATAAGAGATTCAACTTTGTATTCCTATTTAATTTGCAAACGAATAATCTGAATGCCCAGTGACTCTAAATCCTACAAAAAAATCGGTATGATCTTTCACTAGCGGTTATCTAATTTTGAAGTCGTGAGTTTTGTAAAATACACTCCATGAGAGCCTTTACCACAGCTTGCAGACTGTAGCTCACGCCGCACCACATCCAAGGTACAGTCCGGGCATTGGAGCCGATAAGACAAATAAAACGTTGAAAAAACCATGGTCCATTTCAGCGAAGCACTGATCAGACTGAGTAATTAAATATACGTTTGGTTTCCACAAGTGCTTCACATCTTTCTTTCCTATAAGACACCATCTCGCACCACATGCACAGATAATTAAGACCTTCACAGTCATCTTTTGTACATGACACGGCGGTTTTTGAACGATAAAATTCTCGTGGATTACTCCTAGCATATTCAATGCTTGCCTCCTACCAGGTTCAACTAGATTCTCAGGCATGACTCGGCGCTTTTTAACGCCCGCCAAAGTAGGCCAACTAATACTCATTGAAATTTATACCGAAGCAGTTGTCCCGCATTCGTCGAGAATTCCGATCATTTCATTTTTACTCACTAATCTACTTCAATCAGCATCAAATTCAGATCACAATGAATCATTATCCCAGCAGCCCGATGAAGCAAACACGGACCTCAAGTCCTTTGAATCTTTGCTGACCGCTCACGCATCCGTTTCCAACTTTCGCGAAAAGACACTATGGGATTATTTCTTGAAGAAGCTGTGGGATATCGACAGCTCAGATTCACTTCATGCCTTTTTTATGAAACTATCAAATCTTCTCGTTAAATCTCACGACGATTTGAAGAATGATAGCAGCATGGGGATTCCGCCACCGTCCGAAGATATGATCCTGCTTTCTCGCACATCGCCTCTGGGTAGCTTCATACGAAGATCACAGTTGGAATACGAGGGTATGAAATTTAGCGATTCCCTAAAATTGTGGAAGAGCCTACTGAGGTGGAGGAGTGAATCGAGAAACACATGGTCGAAATTGAGTGGGAACATAGGGAAATGGGCCGGCGACAGAGTACTAGACGAAAATGATAAAAAGTTTGGAAGGGATTCTACCCGGAAACTAGAACTCATTATTTATGGCTCGTTTGAAGAGGAAGATTCTCCTGGAGAATTTGTCAGTACAGATGACGTCGAAAAGCTTCTAGAATTTCAGGTCGACAAAATGCAGCGTAAGTCTTTCTACTACAGTTGCTGGATTAAGTTAAAGATGTTAGATTATGGTAGTAGAATGTCACGCGAACTCAAGGAAAAATTTAGAAGCTTTTTGGACCAGAGTATCTTGGTGCCCAGTTTATCGCATTATCTAATGTGCGTTGACCTCCAAACTATCCCAAAAGACTCATCCTTAAACTGTTTTAGATTTCTTGATTCCTGGAGAGCTGGCGATTACACAACATCATTCGATAGTCTTCACCGGTATTTTGACTACACTATGCAAAATAGGGATCGCCTTTTCTATCAGTATGCTCTAATGAATCTTGCCATTCTACAAGCAGATTTTTCATGCTTCAACGAGGCAGTTGCATCCATGCTAGAAACAGTTTCCACAGCAAGAGAGAATAGAGATATTGTATGTCTCAATTTCGCACTAAACTGGATTTATCATTTTGGCAAGACTCATCCCACAGTCCTCGCAGATCTAGATTCTACAAATATGCTCGGCACTGAGAGAGAGGGACTATCTTTCCTTCAGATTAAAGCTAAAGAGACAGGAATGTGGAATCTGTGGTGTTCCTCTTTACTCAGTGACGCCAAATTAGGGATGATAAATGGAGAAAGTGTGGGGACTGCCTTTGAGAATATTACTAAGAGCTCGCACATCGCAGTGGAGAAGAATTTGAAATGTATGACTGGTCCATTGATGGCCATGCGCTCGTCCCTATGGGAGAGATTAGGAGTTGCTCATCTATCCAGGCAATACTGCGAAGCTTTCATGCAATGCCATATGCTAACAGACAGCTCGTTCGACGACACCTTACGATGTACTGGGCGAATAGCCCACTTTTTGGTCAATCAAGGTCAGTATAAGTTAGCATTAGAGATGTTGGACCAATTTGAATTTAAAACTGATCTCTCATGGAAATCAAATCAGTATTGGCTGAAATGTCAGGGCATCTTTCAATTGAAGCGTTATCTCGCGCAGAATAAATTAGACAATGCCTTTATTCTCTTATCGCAACTTCTTCAAAATAACGGCGAGGACGCGGATGCAGAGCTCTCGTTTGAAATAACTGCTCTGCACATTGACTATCTCATGCGAAGGACTGACTACAGTCGAGCACTGATGGTTATTGAGGAATCTTCGAAGCTAATGTGGGAGCATGGGTATGATGTTAACCTGAGGGTCCAGCTGCTGCTACTAAAAGCCTCAATATATGATAAAGCAGGAAGACCTCAGAAAGGCTTCTCCATTGCTATCCGTGCGGCGAATATAGCATGGCGGTCACTCTTGCTTCCTGCTCTTTGGGCCGCAATGGGAGCTATCGCAAATATCTTGACATCTCTCCACGAATTTCAGGCCTCAACTCAGATATTGATATCTATATTTCCACGCGTACTAGAATGCGATAACAGTGAACTAAGTGCCCAGCTTTATTCCTTCTTGGCCGATGCGTACCTTGGCCTTGCAGGTCAGACTAAACCGTTGGAGAGAAGGCAAAATCTGTTAAATGGCTTGAAGTTTATCAAAAGAGCAGGGAATGAGTATTCCAATTTGGAAGATATCAAAAAACAGAGTGAAATGTCTATCAAGGCAGCTACAATCTTAAGGTTACTTGGAGAAACCACACTTGCCAGAGAGTACACAGAGAAATGTATGAAATTGAAGCAGTTAAACTTAGCGATAGATGGCAGTCCCAAAATGATATTTTCCTAATCGTACCTCAGTCCAGAACGAATACATCACTAGCTACGTTAGCTAAAATAGGGTTAAATTCTTATATCACTCCGTAGTTTATTCTATACGACTTGATACTGACCCAGTTCATTCATGACTGTGATAGAGATGTAAGAAATTCATTGTATTAAATTGGTCTTGTATGTTCCAGTAAAAGACAAGAAATGTTTGAATAAAGTCTAAAATGGTAGAATGGGAGTCTATTATGACCATGACTATCCTTCAATACTGTAACTTTGACCACCTGTGCTGTAATCATAGATTTTCTTCTTGATTAAAATCTTCCTGTAGCCATCTCTTACAATCACGGAAAAGATTTTGTGATATTTATGATGAAAGCACAAAGGTTAACGTCGTATCATTTCCTCACAAGTGTTCCCGTACGTACATCTATAACATCTACTCAGGGTTTCTTGAAATTCCGATATAGGAGAGTATTTTTTTCTGCAGAGCTAACTGCATCCTAATCTTTCTTGTGGTAGTTTACTTTATCATTCCAGCTTCCTTTGAATTAGTCCCAGAGCTTGCTTTTGTCTTAACAACTTACAAGAGAGTCTATGAGTCAATAAGTATGGATGAGTCATAATGTATCGGGATTCAAACTCACTTTATCACCATCTCCCCAGAAGAAGTTTTTGGTCCGAATATTCTGATACGGATACTCTACTCTCTCTTCTAGAGGTGGTAGGTGTTCCCAGTGCTCCCAATGCTCATCCCATAGGATCCAAGTATTGACACCGGCGATAATCAATGCAGGAATTGTTGCGCTATTTAATTTGACTTAGCCTTAGTCGCCCAAATACTTTGAAGGAGCCTCACTAGATTGACAGTTTACGCCAGAGGTTTGTAGCCCAAGTTAGACGATGATTAAATTTTGATTCAAAGATGGACACATACCACTTGTCGCAGCAGCGTGATCCTTGACTGCCTTTCTTTCGCGGTTGAAGGCATTATCTTCTACGCCCTGAAATCCGGAACTCTGCGTGCTGGTAAGACGTCTTTGGAACGGAGTGCGGATAAGGTTGTTGCGTGGTGAGATGGCGAGGCTCCAAGAGGGCCGGGAAACGGATCGTAGGCACGACATTCTGTCCGTCAATGGTTGTTGGGGCTTGGAGATTCGTTGCGATCCTCTGTCAATACTTGGCCCTCCAAGGGTATGCATGGGTGTTGGTCATGTGACACATATGATACTCGCCTCAGTCAAGTGTGAAGAGATTGCGGGTAACATCGATATAACATTTTGACTTGAATCCCGCCTAATACACATCAGATAAACATTAGCCTCGTAAGACACATGGCCAAAAATGGAGGAAAAGAGGGGACTTCGCATCACGACTTGGAATGGTAAGCTAAACGCGTTGCGAGCCGCCACAACTGCGAGCCTAGCTCTGGTCGCTGATGGCTCATAGTAAACGGAATTAGGTCGGTCTTTATTTATTACCGCCTCAGTATTCATAGGAGTTTAATAGTAACCAGTGGCTAAATATGTGTCGCGCAGAAATCCATTTGGCTACCAGCCATGGAGTCAGGAGCGGACGTTCTCGGTATATTGAGACTACCCAATCACGTGAACTATCTTGACAAGCACGTAGGCTATGTTCGACATCCTCGAGGCTGACATTGTGATTTTTCAAGAGACCAAAATCCAATGGAAAGATATCCGAGATGACATGGTCCTCATCCCGGGCTGGGACGTCTACTTCAGTCTCCCGAAGCATAAAAAAGGTTCAAACTGTGAGCAAGTAGACTAGATCAAATCTAATAGACTACCCTAGGCTATTCTGGCGTCGCCATCTACACCCGCACTGCGGTTTGTTCTCCTATACGGGCTGAAGAAGGGATAACCGGTGTGTTATCCCCACACAAGTCATCCATCAGTTTCCGTGATCAGCCCGCCGAAGTTCAAATTGGTGGGTATCCGACCCCGAGCCAACTCTCTCTATGCTCTCTCGATCCACACACCATAGACTCTGAAGGACGCTGTATAATACTTGAGTTTCCAGCCTTTGTACTCATTGGAACCTATTGTCCCGCTACCCGAGACGAGTCCAGGGACGAATTCCGACATGACTTTCTAACGGTACTCGATATCAGGGTGCGCAATCTCATTGCCGGCGGGAAGAGAGTCATTTTAACGGGCGACTTAAATATCATTCGTGGCGAGCTAGACTCGGCTTATATCGATGAAGTACTTGTGAAGAAGGAAGATATTGACATTGAAGAATTCTACTCTTCCCCTGCGAGACGTCTTTTTAACCAGCTAGTTGTCGACGGCAAGGTCATTGGGGAAAGAGATGAAGGCCGAAAAAAGGCCGTCATGTGGGATATTTGCCGATATTTTCATCCCTCTCGCCATGGCATGTACACTTGCTGGGATCAGAAGATAAATGCTCGTCCCGGAAACTTTGGCTCTCGTATCGATTATATTCTCTGTAGTATAGGATGGAATGATTGGTTTTGCAAATCAGATATTCAAGAGGGACTTATGGGGTCAGATCACTGCCCAGTCTACGCAGAATTGAAGCAAATGGTCGAGCTAGATGGCAGTACTACTGATATTCGAGACATCATGAGTAAGGGCATGTTCAAAGATGGAATTAGACAAAGAGAATGGTCTACTAATGATCTCTTGCCCATGTCAGCTCGAGTAATTCTGGAACTCAATCGTCGTCGAAGCATAAAAGATATGTTTTTAAACTTATCAACAGCTCCTTCAAAAAAGAGTAATTCTTGTCTTGGTACTGAGGAGACGGAAGAAAGTAGATCTATAGTAGAAGTAGATCCAGTATCTTCTAGTCAGGAAGTTATCTCAAGAAAACGGCCTCTATTACCACAAGATGATAGACATCAGGACGGGAATAGTCGAAACGAAAGAAACACAGTTAACTCTACGCCCAATATTCTGGTTACTACCGCTCCTGCATCAAGCTCGACAAAGCCTTTACAAAGAGCGGGGGAATCGTCAAATTGTTCGGTTCCTTCTGCCAAGCGTGCGAAATACTCAAGCCAAAAGACCGCCGGTCGGAAAGATGAAGGACGTTCTCAAGGTAACCTTCGGCAATACTTCACATCAAAGCCATTGGAACAACAGACAAGGAACCAGAGCCAGGATATACAAACTACATCTTCGCCAATCAAGACTTTAGCCTCAGACACCCCTCATTCTAAAGTATCGGTTTCAGGTCCTAATCTTGACGCAATGAATCAAGGAAAAGATTTGCAAAGCTCTCTAGAGGGTGCAGATGAAAAGGAAAGCGTGGACAATGACCTTGCCGTTGAGAGCTGGTCAAAACTTCTTACTAAACGATCTCCGCCGCTTTGTGATCACGATGAACCATGCATTAGTCTTGTCACCAAAAAGCCCGGATTGAACTGCGGCAAATCATTCTACATCTGCGCAAGACCCCTCGGTCCAAGTGGAAAGAAAGAGAAGAATTCATCATGGCGGTGTGGAACATTCATATGGAATAGTGATTGGACCCGAAAGATGTGAGGGCTCCAAATATTTCCCAAAAAACATGGTTCGTAAATGTTAGTGAAGCCTTGATACAAATAGCAGCTTTGTAAATATCAGCCCGCTTCTGCGGATGCAAATATAAAATGAGACGACTGGAATCAGGTTATCAGATAATAGTAATAAATGGGATTTGGTTGATATTATTCTAGACCTTCTATTATGGTCATTAATCATGTTTATTTCTATTTGTAAGATGCTAATTACAAAAGTAAGGTCGAGCCAATTCGTAGTAGCTACAATACACGAATTCTCCCCCACGTGATAAAGTGTCATCCATTGTGGAATCGATGGCCAAATATTTCAATACTTTCACCATTTATGGCAAGTCTCTCGAAAATAACTGGATGCTATTAACTTTTCTCTCAAAATATAAGCAGATAGAATTGTTAAAAAACTCAGAGCCGACTGGCCTCTATCTTTATCTGATATTAACAAGATTCCCTGCTGCCCCAATGATTTTTGAGGTGATATAATTCAGTTAGGAGACTGAAGACAAAAAATTTCGGTAACAGTTCTATCAAAAAATCCCAGGGTGCAATGATTCTAACTAGCTTCTAAAACTGGTCATGATTGAAGATGACTGTAGCTCTCAATCTCTATTCCATGACTTTTAGCCAAGATAGCTGGAATAAAGCTGATGGAGGTTAAATAGTTGACAGCCTCCGGAATCATATCTAGTACAAGTAAAGCTATTCACGGCCCATCAAAAGCTGTGTGGCATCAATTCTCATGACCAAAATATATGTGCGTCATCCGACATGAATAAATACTTGGGATGCATATGCCCTGCAGGATCGTGATTTAGCAGCCTATAACCATCAAGAACCTCCTCCACTGCACGAGCAACTTTTGCGAGTTCTTAAGAGCAATAGGTATTTTCGATATGACATGAACACTGAAAGGAATATTCGCGAAATCTCGAGAGTAGCCTTGTGCATGGATTTTGGAGCCTTCAAGTTTCCTTGGCAGATGTAGAGGTCCGAGAAAAGTAGGCTGGTGTCAAGATTTTACGAAGCAAAACAATGATCTGGAGGGTTCAGTGGGAGATGTAATTCCACTTGACTAGTGGACTGGATCCGGTCTGACTGCCGCGAACACAGGAGTGCACAAACAAAGTGAGAGATGCAGGGGCGAGTCTTCTTTTTTTTTATATCATATTGTATTCAGCTATCTAGCTATGACCGGGCGAGTCTTCGTAAGAGCGCCAAAGTGAGGCCAAAGTGAGGATAGCCAATATAAGCAAAACGTTTTGGTGGAGAGTGTTTGATGTGAACTCTCTCGGCCACTCAGACAAGTTATATTAGATGATATGGATAACAATTTAGACTACTCTGCAGCACACAATGGAATGTTCTATTAGCAAGTAAATGGATGAGCTACAGGTATAAATAGGATTATTACTCGATAAAAGTTATGTAAGTGCTGTACAACTGCACTAAGCGAGCGTCAGACATCAACATGTTCTGGGTAAATAGTGAGCGGAAAAACCGAGCACGTGATATAATCTCAATGTATGTAGTGCTGAGTAGTTTTTCCTCGAGGTAGCAACAAGGTATCAAATTGTAATTAGATGAAATACAGTTCCGCCTTTATTCTGACCAAATTGATCATATTGACTAAATTCGTTACAATTTATCATAACTAAACTTTATTCTCCTTCATGTAGGTAGCAATCATCGGGAAACGAGTCTAAGCAGACACATATCATCGTCCACTCCATAATAGTGTCAAGCACGCCATGTTGATAAAGCTACTGTTTGTATGCAATTCCTCTCCCCATAATCACAACAGAGAGGTATTTGTGAATCCGGGTATTATGGCTCAAATATCATCGAGCCTCTACAATTCATCTTTGAACATGGCCGGTTGGATACAAACAACGTTCAATCTTCCTCCAGCCTCCTTGCAGCTTCTAGGGCATGGTCTTCAGTATCCTTTGCGAAATTTTAAACATGTCAATTTTAATATTCAGTTTGACAACTGTTCAGATAGCTTTGGTAGCCCCTCGTAGTCGTACACCTAGCAGGGACTTCAATTATCTCATATTCTCCGTAACCGAGTAGATCCATTGATCTTCTATACCCGCACCAGCACGGCCGGAGTATGATTTGAGCTCAGCTCGCTGTAGTGGCTTTCATATTTACAGGCTACATGCACTTACTTGCTCACATAACTGTGGCTATTGGTGTCGGTAATTATAATCCTCTTGTAAGCAGACCTATGCTTGTCTGGGTTTTGCGCCAGTCCAAAAGCGAAAGTAAGATCTACGCGCACAGATGTTTGGCTACTGGCAATACTCAAGGGAGCGTACAAGGGGATACTCACACAATATAGTCCTAGGCTCGACTTGTAGTAGTAAATTAATTCCATACTTTCGCTCTTACATTCTTGACAATTCACGTGACATTTACACGAAGCCCCTCTAAGCTTTACACCTCTTTATGAACACAAAAAGAAATAAGACACATGACTTTCTTGATTTCATTGAGTTGGATTATTTTGGACTAGCTTTGTCTTCCCTCCACATCAACTGACCCAACAATATCCTATAAACTGCGCCTTGGATAAACGTGCTTGGTCATTGCATTACGGTGGTTGTAAGCTGTCTTTCTCCAAGTCTCGTTGCTGAGCACAATTTTCCTCATTCAACACTGGCTCAAGCCTACACTAGTCATCCCACACCTTAAGCTCAAAAGAAAAAAGCAGTCCACTGCCATAGTGTCATCCTTTTGAAACGTAGCATTCTATTCTCCCCTCTGCCTCGCAAGCTGAGTGTAACAGCTTGTGAGCCGATTTTTGTGTGGCACATGATTGTATTCACGTGCTTCTGTAATTCTACAGTAGTTGTCAGGAAATGCTGCTTAGTCAGCTAGTTGGTCAAGTGAAAGGTGTCCACATCATTAGTACATAACACCTTTATCACTACACACCCTTAGTCCTACATCCATACAATTCCTCACATATTGCATATTACTATCTGCATTATCTTACTCCCGTGACTATACTTTCTCAATATCCCAACAGGTTATGAGACCGGTGTCTAATTATTCATCGGCTTCCTTTTTCGAACAATCCGCAGCAATGTCTTCATTTACTACAGAAATAAAAGACACCTGCAATCACGACAGTCTTCCACAGTACAAATCTAATTGGGGGAACATTGTGATTCTGAGCCTCGGAACATTCACAGAGTGGCGGATTACTTGCGAGATTGCTTTAATAAACGCTGGCGTTTTAAGTATCGCTGATGGCACTTGGAAGAAACCTATTGCTAATTATTACACGCATGCTTCCCGTCCGAATACACGATCAGCCTCTTCCGGTGCAGCACACAATGAAATTGATGCCGATGACAATGAATTTCGAATACAGGAACAGAAATGGTTATCCAAAGCCCGCGACACGCAGATAATCATATCCGAATCCATCGAAATCCAACTGATGGAGCAGTCGCTCGGATTTCTGAGGAACATTGATCCCGCTGGGTTGTGGAACTTCCTCCTCCAAATGGATCCAAACAGAGATCCTACAACCATTGCAGAATTGAGATCCAAGTTCGCCTCCATGAAGCTTGATCCGAGAACAGACACAATCCACTCTCTTGTTCTACGCCTCAATAATCTCAGAGTCAAGCTATCAATGACCTCTAGACCGATCACCGAGGAAGATGTCAAGGAGCAGCTAATTGCATCTCTTCCTAAGGATAATTCAATTTGGTCTACGGCTCGATCACATGCTCTAAACATGGGTAGAAGTCGCAGAAACAATTATATATCTTCAATCTTGCGAGTCTAACATTTGTTATACACAGTCCCCTCAACCACAATCTGCAAATGTAGCACGCAGCAATTATAGAAAAAGAGGATGTGGTACATATCGAAGGGGACGCAATACAGCGCACTTTGATCGTCGTGATCAAGCTCGCGGAGAGCTTAACCGAAAAAGAAAGCAAAGAGGAATGGCAACGGACGAAAATGAGTGTTTCTTTTGTGGTAGAAAAGGTCATGTAGAACGCGATTGTTGCCTTAAGCAGTCCCAAAGTAGAGCAGCCAAGGAAAAGAATAAAGCTAGGGTGGATGCCGACACTTGTTATGTTCAAGTTAGAAATATTAATGCAAATGATTCATCCTACCTGTCTTATTATCTTGAACACAGTCACACAGCTTGCTCAGAGCTAAATATGGATAAAAGTCTGGCCCTACTCAAAATAAAATCAAGCAAAAGTAAAATCCGACAATATAAAACAAATTCCAAAAATATACAGAGCTTGATCACCAGCGGAATTCATAAACTCCTTAAATTTATACGGCTTCTGGATTCTAATGCAACAGCTCTCCCAACTGTCACAAAACATGCTTTACTCACCAAGCCCAGAGAAATTCTCACAATAATTGACTCCGGAGCGTCAGAACATTTCAGTGGTATGAGAGATGATTTCTCTACGCTCAAAAGATGGAGCAGTCCAAAGTCTGTCCAAATTGTAGATGGAAAAGTTATTCAATGCGAAGGCTATGGCAATATATCTTTTAGGACTAGTGATAAAATAATTGAATTAAGAGAAGTCTGGTTTATTCCTGAGTTTGGTCAAATGCGGCTTCTGTCCGTCTGGGCCTTCAATAAGAGGAGCATAGATGTAAATTTTGCTGATGGCCATTGTCAAATAACATGAAACGGCTCAATCTTGTTTGAAGCAGAAGGAGAGGATGGTGTCTTCAAAGTTAAAACAAAATCTATACCTCAAGCAACATCAGCCACAAAAGTTCAGCAACAAATGCCACACCAAACAGAGACTGAATGGGACATTTTGCATAGAAGAATGGGCCATATTAACATTAAAGATATTGACAAGGTTCTGAAAACAGGACACACTGGACTAAAAGTTCCTAACAAGAAAAGATCAATTCCGATTGGATCAAAATCTTGCAAAGCATGTTTAGCAGGAAAGATGAAGGAAAACTTCAATAAGAAATCTGACA